ACGCGTGTAGCAAAATGCAGTTGTGACACTTGCAACAGCGCGCCTCGAGGCTATATTTTTTTGTTTGCACAAGCGACAACGACGACGACGATGCCTGCGACACCGACGACGACGACGTTGACGTCGAGGGGCGTAAGTCGGGATGTAAATGGCGTAAAAACTTTTCGACGTGCATATGCACGAGACGACGGTATGCACTGAACGAGGATATGAACAAGGGTGTGGTGGCGGTGGCGTTGTGCAGGAATATGGCAACTGAAATTGCACAGTGCTATAGAGAGAATAGGAGGCAGGAAAGAGACAAAGAGAGATATATATATATATATATATAGAGAGAGAGAGAGAGAGAGAGAGAGAGAGAGAGAGAGAAAGCGCAACGCGAGAGAGAAGGGGACGTTGGATTGGAGAGGGTGTGTGCACTAAAGAGGATGAGAGGGAGCAACAGAGAGAGAGAGAGAGAGAGAGAGAGAGAGAGAGACAGGGGGTACAAGATCGAGCGAGACACGGTTGCGAGAGCGAGAACGAGATAGAGGTACTGCGACGATCAATACGCCATCAGCTTAAATTACAATAATAACGTCGGCCAGACAAAGCGCTATTATAAAATAGTACGGCTGTAAAAGGTCGTGGCATCGGTCTGTTCAAAACTGCCCAGAGACAAACACTCTTATCTCAGAAAGGGAAAAGGAGGGAGGGAAATGCTTAATCGTTGTTAAAAGGAAGAGAAATAAAACACTCGTTTTTCGACAAGCTGTACCACTTACCAATCCTCTCCGTGTTCTTACGAGGATGTCGAGAAATTGGACGCTCGTTTCGTCGTCGTCGTCATTGCCGCTCTTAGTCTGGGACGACAGTAAATTTAACCCCCTCGCGGCCGGACAGAATTGTCTGCGATGTTTTCATCGATGTAACGGAGCTCGGTTTATTGATTCTATTAGCCGCGATAAAATTCCGCACCCCGAAATTTACACGCGGATTTCACTGAATACGACGCGCGCATGCTGTTACTACGTGAAATGGAAGAGGATTTACATTCATTCCCGAAATGTCTCCCTTTCTCTGCATTTTCGAGAGAGTGCGCTGGATTTCGGAATATCGCCTTTGTTTATTAAACTGCTCTCACAATCGTCGTGAATGACACTGCCGAAGAGAGAGAAGTGAACGATAAATTTGACGTGATGGTATTTTAATTTTTTAACTTTTTGTCAAATTAATTTTGCTAAAATTACAAACAATTTTAACCGAAATAAACTTTTCAAAAATTTTTCGATATAAATAAATGCTTAAAACAAAAATCTGATTGAAAGACCATTAAAAATATATCTAAAGCATAAAAGTAGTATTAAAATGATAAAATTAATTGCAGCAAAAAGAATATTGAATTTGAAACTTTCAGTGTAGTTTCTCCGCGGGAAAAGTGCGGGACAATGTTTCGCGATTTTTACGTTATGTACGTTGTGTACATTAAAAAGTTAACGCGGGATCTCTGTCTGCTCAGCCAACTCTGCGGGGATTTCTTTCTTAACGACTTCCCAGGGAGGTACGTATATCGTAAAATAACCCATGGAGAATCATCTGGATCGAAATCAACGAGAGAAGCGTTTTTAAAACCTTAAATTTCTAATCTCATTCTCTCCTAAGATAAGGAATATAGTAAATACAACACGCAAGCATGTTTGTTGACTAATACTTTATTAATGCCCATGTAACAATGCATAAGCCTATAATAATTTGCATATGTTGAATTTTGCTAGGTAAATACATGCGCCAGTTAACATACATTAATAATGTACACGGCCGATAATCGGATATTTCTGAAATTTTGCTGTATTATTAATGTGACCGCATACATACGTCTGAATTGGTTTATCACGCGTGCGTATGTCATCCATTTAAATATATTTGAATATCACAAAAAAGCGTGCTCTCCACTTTACGTTACGAAAACTTCGCAATCACGAGCAGATGTTCGATTGATATTACCATAATTCGACGTATTATACCGTAAACGTGAAAATCGTCAATTCGAATTAATTTACAAATTCGTAAATTAAGATAAAGTTTTCAGTATGATATCACACAATCTCACACTGTTGAAATATTCTCACTATTATAATAGACAACACAATGGGAAATCCTAATTACACAGAAAATTAGTTTCGAACACTGTTGAAGCTCGTCGGTTTTGCTTATCATCGTAATAATTTAGCACATTATTACAGGGTAATAAGAGAATTATGTCTGAAGCATACATAAGCTTTTTGGAGGAAAAAACATATGTATTTAGTGTACTTACATAATAAAATTCGAGACAAGCTCGAATTTATAGGCATACAAAAAAATAGTAAGATATAAGCAGTAAGCAACTCAATATTTTGGATTTGCTACTGCGTATTGTGTTATATTCTCTGCTGTGATTGGTCGATTCATTTATTACTTATGTCTATAGTCTCAAATACAATGAAAATCACAGGTAGAATACGGAAAATAAGGAATAAAAGGTTTCACCTATTAAACCTATTTAAAAAAATGTATAATAGAATGTACGGTTTCTGAGAGGTTGAAATCTATTAGCTTTTCTATTTTTCTATTATCTGTGCGTTTCATTATATTTAAGACTGTATTTACTGCCTAACATTTTCCTGTGTGTTATAAGCTTATGGCATTATAAAAATGAAACTTTTCTAACTCTGAATTCCTTTCTTCTGTTCCAGAACATCGTAACTCGTCGCCGCCGCGATTTAACGAGCGAGTGAATCCCGGGCCGATCCGCACCGGCGAAACGATTGTACTATCGTGCATCTCGCAGGGTAATCCGCCACCGACGTACCTCTGGTTTCGCGAATCCGTGTCGGGCACGACGATGGTCTTCAACTCGGAGAGGATACACGCACGTGCCGGCGTTCTGGTGCTGCAGCCGGCCCGAGTCGAGGATGCCGGTAGATATGTCTGCCATGCAAACAATACCGCTGGTTCCGAGCGAGTTGAACTGGAAGTCACCATCATAAGCAGCCTCTCTATCCATCTGGCGCCTCAACAGGTTCATTATTCGATCTTTTCTATCTCTTTTTCTTTCTTTGGAACGACGACGCCTTCATGCGAACGACTCAATTCACATATCCATTCGCGTGTGTCTTATCGTCTTTTTCCAGTTATTTTCTCTTCCGGCCATTTCTATCTATGATAGAAATAGCGACGCACGCTTTTATCTAAATATAAAGACTTGATATAACGTAATTGGCAATTAATTAATAAGATCAATAAAAATAATTTAAATTATTTTAAAATCAAAGGCTACGAGTCACGACAAGATAGTGAGTGTTAGAAATTAACCTAATATTTAATAATTAAATTATAATAAATATATTAAAACATAAACGTTTCAACCCTTAGGTCATCTTCAGTGTATAATATTAAAAACAAATTTGCGATTGATTGTCGACATAACGTTAAAGCAGTTATTTTAAATATTCTTCTTCAAATTTTTTGCGATGTTAAGGCAAACTATTCCTGTTCAAATTTTTTGTGTACATACCTATCTCTGATGATTTTCTCTTCTCTCTTCTACAAATGTTGCGGGTGGTAATAGAATCCATCAAAAATCACGCATTGCAATTTTATGATTAAAAAATCACAATATCTAGATTGACATAATTATTGATTAAAAAGTATTTATAAAAAGTATTGTATAATCTAAAATCATCTTAAATATAAATTAGTTGTACCTTTTTAAGTGTACAAAATTTCCAAATAGATTCATAATCCACGAAGATATTGATATAGAATAATTACATTAAGATTGTTATTTTCAAAAGATTCAACAAACAATTTAAGTTCTAATATTCCGACTAGCAATTTAAATTCTTAATATTTCGACTAAAATTCTTAATAGAAGAAGCTGATGATTTTATGATATATTGCTTCGAACTATATATGGAAAACTTAAACTCATAAATAAATTATACAAATTTCTTATTTTTCTTAATTTTTTAATTTATTGAATTTTTCTTATATATCTCTTCTAGTCTTTTATATAAATATTTTATATGAATATTTTACAAAATACTAAATAATTTGATTTATTTTATTAATATTTACATTTATATTTTATATTTGATTATTTAGCATTTAGTACTAAAAAATAATTTAATTTTTGTTTCTTTCTTTCTATTCAAATCAATTATATAAAAGTATTTCAAAAAAGGATGTACATATTTCTTTGAAATGTGTTGTCTACATTATTTTTATTTGAAGTATTTTTCTTTAAAACAATAATAACATTAATAGAAAAATTTATATCTTAAGCTTTAGCTTTATTGTATTATAAAATACTTAAAATATCGCCTAAAATTGAAAAATTGCGAAACATCGAGCAAGCTTAAAACGAATTTTGTGCAGAATGTAAATTGACAGAAAGAAATAGTAAAGCGAGGAAAAAGTTTTGGCACGACTTTTAATGCCTCGGGAAACATAAAGATTGGCTGATTTAACAGCGAAAATATTGCTTAGTTTGCTTTCATATGAACAGCAGAGTTTCTAATGTGTGAGATTTCACTCTGTTTCACTTTATACATAATTACGTAACAAAATACGAAGTGTAGTTTATATTAACAGGCATGCAAATTAATTCTAATCTCTTTCGAGGCGTGAAATGGTACGCAAACATTCGCAACAGAGCGACGTTTGAGCTTTGCTTTTCCAAATAATGTTCGAATCCAAGTTTCGATTGTTATAACGTGCACCTTTGTTCAGCGTAATCGCTATAGAATATAGCCAGCTATTTCGATTTGAGCAAAGTTAAACCCAAGTTCATCCCGTTACTCCGAACGAGGTAGTGAACTTTGGACAATCTCCGGATAATTGGGTCGAACATCAACGCTACATCACAGTTTCTCCATCCATCTTGAGCCAGTGTCGGTTTACATGCATTTCCTCTCTTCTAAGTTTCACAAACAAATGTAATCTTTCATCTTCTTTCTCTTCTTCTTTGTATCATGCGGTTGCGTTTTGGCTGCGTGCGTATTAAACAAAGATCATTTCATATCATCGTAACACCCACGTCAAGCATTTACGAGATCTGGTTTTGCAATAACTATTTATCACATCTTGACTGTTGCAATAATTTGAAATGGACTTCTATTCTGGAATGAATCATGCTAGACTGCGAAGCGGATAAGAGCGAAGAGAATTATCGTCATACATTTTCGAAGCTCATGAATAAAATCCATTTCATCCAGCTGAAGCCTTAAACCCAGCGAAGTAATTTCATCGATCTCTTCAGAATCGATGCAAAATCCGCTCGCTATCTCTTCCATTTAAGATCTTCGGAAGGTAAATAAATGACAATCATTATTCCGACTGTCATCGCGCGTGACAGTTTATACTTGGCTTCCTATTGAACGGATTAAGAATCTCGAGGCGACATTATCGTATTTCTCGACGATATCGACGATAATCTTTTCTGTTCACGTAGTGCTTGCCTCCCCCTCCCCCTCCGTTTTCCGGACTTTTCCGAACTAGCAGCTTTTCTTGAATCGCTTCGTCGCAAATGACTCGGGCATTTCTATTGTCCGCTCTTTTCCCTCCTCGGCCTTCGATCCAGGCGACAATTGTCGCCAGTTTCCCCGAGAGGCGCGAGGGAGGACACAGTCAGAATCTGCATTTTACTTATCGCCATTCGGCGAGATTTTGCGAAATTTACCTCGAGATTTCTACGCTCCTCCGCAACATTCGACAATGGCATGTACGAACTAAATCGGTATTTATTTTAAAAATGCTGCAAGTCCATTGAATCGCATTATATAAGCATTTACCCTGCCACTTACTATCATATTCTCTAAAAAAAACTTCAAAATCTGATCGAGCAACTTTTTAATAAAACGAGCGTATATCATTTTTCTGTTAGTCCAAAAATCATTTTTAGAATTATCGGTATTTAATGATAATTTTTATAAAATAATTTTAACAAGAAAGAATATCTTCTTAAAGTAATTTTCTTAAAGAATATCTTTTTAAAATAGATCAAATAACTTAAGGAATAATTATTGCTCATAAATATTGTATTGAAAAGATAATTTGAATTTCTCATTACTTTGATTCTTATTATAAATGAATAAATTGCATAAAATGTTTGCAAAATCTTTTCTGAACAATTTTTAATACAATACTCTGTCAACGGTTTTTCTACATTTTCATAGATTTTTTTATATACATCATAATTTTTTATCATAAATTTTTTACATATAAGAGTATATATACGTTTAACATAATCATCTGCGAAATATGAAACGAATAAGACTGGTTTTTGTCGCATTTTGGTATATCGATTTTTCGTTGAATTATGTTTATAAAATCCGGCACGCGCGCGTCATTCATGAGAGAACGTTGCGCGTACTTTTTGCATGTTTTGTAATTTGACAGATGCATTAATACATTATCAAAAAAACAGATGTAAAAACGTGTGATACACGCGTTTTGAAACATGATATGTTGCCATCGAGGAACACCGCGCCGACCGAGAGTGATTTTGCTTCTACATCATTACGGGTCAATATAATTGCTAATATTTTTGCACAGAAAAATTGCAGTGAGGTGATATTGATGTCGTTCGAAAGCTAAGCTTCCAACGCTCCAAATGAGTGTAACGCCACTTATCTTGGATGATTAGATTAGCGTCCACTAATTACGGAAATAAAATTGATTTCGCCACGAGACTTCCTCAAACATTTAAATCAAGATTATAAGCAAATATAATTACCAATATCTTCATATACAATCACAATAGGATAATCTTATTCGAAAACCAAAATTCTGAGCTTCCAATAAATATAAGATTGCTTATTTTAGTTGACATAGTTTGCGAGTTTATTATCGATGATAAGGAAAATAGATTTTGCTATAATTTTTATCGTTTAAATAAGAAGAGTGTATTTTTTAATTTATATTACTATTATTTATATTATTATTTTACGTCAAATTTTGGTGAGAAGATTCAAATTATACGATTTCAAATATTTACATTTATATAAAATTCTATTTATAATTTAAAATTTAACAACTTTTTTTGTATCATTGTTGCAAGAGTATTCGAATTGTTTGCAAATTCATAGACTACGCAAGATCACAGTTCGTTGTTTCGTGATTTCGTTAAACCTTTAAAAGGCTTCTATAAATCTCCCTTTTTCTCTGTATCTCTATTTTGTTTCTTCTTTCTTCTCTAGCTGAGATATAGATGAAGACAAATTTCCTCCGAAATAACTTCAACTAAATTCAAGCCGACTCCGGTAGCGCGAGTGACTAATTTTCAGAGACGTAGATAATCGAGGATCGCACACTAGTACCGTAAATAACAACGAAGACAAGAAGTCTAGAAGCGCAATTGCTCGGCCGTGATATTGCATATAAAACATGATGCTTCATCCATGAACATGATGAATTTCGAAGTTGTCCTGACCACTTATTCCTCGGGTCAAATTATCGTTCGCTCGGAGATCGTCAGACTTTGTTCCGCAATTGCCTACTCTCTTCCCTGAAAGTTTCTTACAAATGTCAACTTTCGTAAACGATTCCGTCGCTATTTGAACAAAATTTAACTCACGGTTTGCTCTTTTATGTATTCTGGTTTAATTTTTAACTGTTATTACTCTTTTGCTTTTATTAGTCCGTTTTTTTTTTAATATTTTTCTTTTTATTGTGGCCCATATTACATTTTTATATATTTATATTGATATATTTACGAAAACAAATCCCATCATGCCTAGTATGTTTTGTGAAAATATAATCGAGATCGATAGCTTTGTATATATTCTCATTTTATTTTGATTTATGGTGCGTTCTATATTATAAAAAATTACTATTCTCTGATGAAACAGTTTATACTCGGACGATCATGTAATAGTATATCCTCTACGATCTCTATGAAGCTCGCGCTTCATGGGCAGGTTATCGACGACCGAAGTGGTTGCGACCGATAACACACAGACCGAGATATCGAAGCGCTCGCGCGAAAACCGGCATGTAATAAATGCTCCACACGCGCACAAAGTATTTCACTGTCAATTACCAGCTGATGGATCACAACCCTGTCTCGATTCACTGAGACGAATCGATGTATTACATACCTACCTATCCCATCCTGAAAAGTCGACTACATTCCGGGTCGATCGACGCCTGGAAACGCGAGGAAAGAGAGAAAGGGATAGGAGAGGGTAGAAAATGTCAGTAAAGTGTCCAACGGAAAACGCGAGAAAGTGGTATTCTTCCATCTGGAGCGGACAGCTTGGGCATACATACGTATCTACATACACATATATGTATATTTATATATATATATATATA